GATGCTGCATCGGCACTTTTTAAGAAATTCCTTGGCACAGCCAGATGGGGGTCGAGACAGTGTTGCACTTTCACCAATGTCCGCAGCTCAGCAGTTCCATTCCCTTCTGCAACCAGAAGAGCAGACGGCCACATTTAACTGTAGCTTTTTCCTTTTCTCCTAATTTATTTATTTATTTTTTAAATCGACAAATAAAAATTTTCTCCCAGGCTAGAGTGCAGTGTGCCGTCATAGCTCACCGCAGCCTCGAACTCCTGGGCTCGAGCTATTCTTCTGCCTCGGCCTCCCAAGCTGGGACTGCGGGTGCAGCGCCACCAAGCCTGGTGGCATAGTGAGTATTTTAAACTGGGGAAGTTGAGAAAAGGGCAGGAGCAGGGAGGTCACTCTCTGAACTTCTCCCGTCCATCTTCCCCTGAAGTAGGTGATAAGAGCCCCCTTCCGGAGGGGTCCGCCCTGGGCCCAGGGGAAAGGAGTGAAGACGCAGGGGTGCCAAGAGGACTCTGAACCATCAGACATTAAGTCACCGCCCCCCAGTTTATTGCCATGAGATCCTTCCCGCTTTGGTCCTCCCGTCGTGCTTTGGCTTGGCTGTCCATAGAAACACGACTTTCCCTGTTTCTTTGTGTCTTCATTTCCAAAGGCTCCAGCATCACATAAAACTTACATTATGCAAATTATGATTTGCATAATTTTGTATGATTTTGTATGATTTTCTTTTGTTATATCTGTCTTCTGTTATAAGGGTCTCAGCCATAAACCTAGCAAGGGGTAAGGAAATTATGTTACTTTTTCTCCCTTACGAGATTCTAAAGGAAAAGGCATTAGTTGGAATGAAGAAGCACTCCATATAAAAATAAAAGAAATAATCCACAATCTCTTCAAGGACATATCTTGTGCCATGTTAGGAAGAATGGAAGTATTCAATTTAAGAAGCCAAAACACAGTAGAGTAACTAGAAAGAAGCTGTAAATGCTGTAGAAACCCACAACACAGTAAAGAAAATCAACACAACTGGTCCTTCCAACAAACAAGGGACAATGAAATCCATATTTTTCTATTAAGACTTACCAAAGAAAGAAGAAAGGCCTAAACTACTAAGAATGGAAACTAAGAATGATAAAGTAAATAAAAAGAGAGATTAAAAACTGTAACAAAATATAAACAAAACAAAACAACTTTATATTTGTACATTTTAAGTCTTGCGTGAAATAGATAGATCTCCGGGAAAATACAAATTGCCAAAATTGACTGAAGAATAAAGAAAAACCTGAGTAAGTCGATAATCACTAAAGAAATTGAATCTGCAGCCAAATATCTCCTTATATTCTAAAAGGATTCTAAGACCAAATCCATAGCTGTGCTTTTTAATCAAGATTTCAAAGAATGCTTACTCTATGTAAACAGTTACATACCCTAGAAAAGAAAGTTGAAGCATTTTGGGTTTGAACACCAAAACCAGAGGAAGACAATGTATGGAAAGATAATTAGATATCAAATCTCAATTATGAACTTAGATGCAAAAATAATAAATCCAATATTAGCAAATTAGATCCAATGGCATATATTTTTAAAATTCAAGGCCAAGTAGGATTTATCCCAGGAATGCAAAAGTCTATTAATTTTGTAAACTGATCTTACAGATGCCCTCTCTTACCACTAATACTTTTGGTCAGTATTGTGCTAGAGGTTCTAGGCAAAAAGAAAGAAAAAAAAGAAAAAAAGAAAGAAAGAAAGAAAAAAGAAAAGAAAAAGAGCAAGAAAGAAGAAAGAAAAAGAAAGAAAGAAAGAAAGAAAGAAAAAGAAGAAAAAAAAGAAAGAGAAAAGAAGAGAGAGAGAAAGAAAAGAAAGAAGGAGAAAGAAAGAGGAAAGAAAGAAGAAAAGAAAGAAAAGAAAAAGGAAGGAAGGAAGGAAGAGAGAGAGTGGGAAGGGGAAAGGAAGGAAGGAAAGAAAGGGAGGGAGAGAAAGAGAGAGAGAGGGAAAGAGAGAGAGGGAAGAAGGAAAAAGGAATGGAAAATTGTCATTATACACAGTGATGAGTGATTGTCTCCTAGAAAATCCAAGATAATGTATAATTATTAGCACTAACAAAAAGTTTGGCAAAGTTTTGGGTACATGACTGACATACACAAATTCTCAGCAAGGTTATACACCAGACAATGCAACCGAAAAGAAGATCCCATATCATTGCAGCAAAAATGATTAGATCCCTAAATCTAACAAAAAAATCTACAAGAGAATGACAAAGCATAGAGACTTAAAGCTGGCCTACGTTTAAAAATACCATGCTAATAAATGAGAAGATTCAGTGTGATAACGATGTCAATTCTGTTCTTCCCACACGCATCTAAAAATGCAATGCATTCTGCGCAAAATTTCTAAGGGCTTCCCAAGTATCCTGTCAAGCTGACGATAAAATTCATGCGAAGAATAGACGTCCAAGAATTTCAAAGGGGAAGAACAGAGAAGGAAAACTTGTCCTCCTAGCTTTGATGACTTCCAATAAACAGTATGGAACTGTTCAGAGAAGAACCAATAGACCAATGGACTAGAACAGAGGCCCAAGAAACAGCCCCACGCTTTGGTGAGAAATTGATACAGATTCAAGGTGGCCTGAAAAAGCACAGGGAAAGAAGGGCCTATTCCGTAAATGGCACTGGGACTTGGCTTTGGCAGTGGGTCTGAGAGTTGGGCGCATCAAAGTGGCCCGAGGCAGAAGAAAGCTTGTCTGCTCTCTGCAGGCCCAGCCCCAAGACTCCCAGCCTGAGGAGTTTTTCCATTCCAGGGTGACAGATTGGTGCTGCAAGAACAGACGCGGTGACAACTGGCCATGCTGGGAGGCTGCAGGCAGGAAGGCTGCAGGGAGCTCAGGGCTGGGGAGAGGTTCTTGGGTGTGGAAAGAGGGGATGCCTGTCTCCCTATCTGGGGTGCCAGGAGGCCTGGCCCTTGGTGGACAGGGCAGGAGGAGACCTTGTGCGAGTGTCAGCTGACTTACCCAGGCACGTGTGCACACTTGCTGAGCTGTCTCCTCCTTCTGGGCTCCGGCCCCCAAGCTGAGACCCATCCGAGCATCCATCCGGGTCCTGCCCGTACCTAAGGCATGCTTGCAGCCTTCAGGGGCCCTGTGTCTCTCTTTTACAGAGGAGAGGAAAGATGCCCCAGTAGCTTGACTTGCCACACGCTTTTCAAAGCAGCTTGGCTGGGATGTGACCTGCTGTCTCTCTGAACGCAGGAGCTTCCAACAGCGCAGGTCGGGAAGCGCGCCCTCCTGCTCCCCAGTCAAGGGGTACTGCCGGCTCTGTTAGAAGTCGGTTGCCGCAGAGACAGGATCTTTTAGGCACATCTCCCAGATCCCGGCCAGCAGGGACAAAGTGAGCTAATCTGGGGGAGGCAGAGGCGCTGTATTTAAATGCAGATGGCAGCTCAAAGCTAAGAGAGGGCTTCCCCAGGAGCAGAGAGCTCCTTCTAAGAGTTCCTATTTTTTTTTTTTTTTTGAGTCAGAGTCTCATTCTGTTGCCCAGGCTAGAGTGAGTGCCGTGGCGTCAGCCTAGCTCACAGCAACCTCCAACTCCTGGGCTCAAGCGATCCTCCTGCCTCAGCCTCCCGAGTAGCTGGGACTGCAGGCATGCGCCACCATGCCCGGCTAATCTTTTTGCTATATTATTAGTTGTCCGGTTAATTTCTTTCTATTTTTAGTAGAGACGGGGTCTCGCTCTTGCTCAGGCTGGTCTCGAACTCCTGAGCTCAAACGATCCTTCTGCCTCGGCCTCCCAGAGTGCTAGGATTATAGGCGTGAGCCACCGCGCCCGGCCAAGAGTTCCTATTAAATAGTAAAAGTTTATATAGATTGGGGTTGAGAAGACAGGCTTCCAAAACAGGAGGATTCTGACGGCCTGAGGCCTGCCCCTGGAGCCGTGGACCTTCCAGGACTCTGCAGGCGTGGGTAGTTCTAAATAGTCAATAACTAGATCTTCATCTTCCATATTTGTCTTCCTACCCAAGGCTCTGCCCAGGTGTCTGAGGACTCGGCCTTCCAAGCCCTCACATGTCCCTCCCTTGCCAAAGTGAGAGGAGGCGGCTGGGTGCGGGAGCGTGAGCACCCCATGGCTGGGTAGCCACCCTGCAAGTCAGGAGGTCTCTGCTCTTGGTTTTAAACAGAGCAGATGAAAGCACTGAGTGAGTTGTCAGCTCAGAGACCATTCAAAGCACACTGATGGTTGATCATTGTTTAACCCACAGCCCTGTTTTCGTGCCCAGAGCTTCCCGAGAGGCTCGCTGACAAAGACCCAGCAATCCACCCACCCCATGAGACAGACGCTACTAGGCCCGCGTCACAGATGGGAAAACCAAGGCACAGGAGGGCTTGACAGCTGCCGTGGGTCACACACCCGGTGAATGGCAGAGCAGGACTGGGAACCCAGAAGTGTGGCTTCCATCCTGCTGTTCTGGGGTGTACCCCGAAAGGACTTCAGGGCGTGCGTGCTGTGACTTACCAAAGCCCGGCTGTGTCCCTCCACTGACGTTTGGCAAGCAGGTGTTTGCAGCATGTACTCTCATAAATAGAAAAACAGACGTCGAATGCTGCTGACCTGCTGGGTGCGTCCAGGGCGCTAACCCACACGGGGAAGGTGGAGCAGCCCGGGCTGCCTTGTCCCGCCGCCCGTCGTGCCCAGCTGGTGAGACGGAGCTGACTGCTCGCCAGTGGGCAGCGCCCCGCCCCCATCCCCTGGGCCCGGGGAGTGTCTCAGAAGGGGGAAGGCAAGGTCAGATTTATCATAAATTGAAGTCGGACTTGAGGCGGGGCACTGCGAGTGGCAGGGAGGGGGCATGTTCTGAATGGGCAGGGGGCTTCCCTCGGTTGGTGGAGACAGCCAGAAGGGGATTTGGGAGCAAGAGTCTGGAAGAATCTTAGCGCTGTCTGCAGATACTTCCCATTGTGGGGTCAGCGGGTTACCGTAGTGGCGGGTCAAGCCATCCGTCTGGGTGCAGTCATGGGAACAGTAGGACGGTGCTGTTGGAGACAGCAGAAGGGCAAAGCTGCTTGGACGGTGAGCGTGCCTGTGTCTGTCCGTGTGTCTGGCAGGGCAGCTCGGGTATCGGCTCTCCACTCCTTCCAAGTCTTGTGCATGGACGCCTTTCCAGTACTCGGCTAGTAAACGGAGAAGTTACAACTGAATCAAAATATACATTGTCGGATAAATCCGGGCTGGGCTTGGGTAGGCTTTATGGGGCAGGATATTGCACCCGCAGGAGGGGGCTGCTGCCGTGGGCGGGATGGGCTAGGATGGGGAGGGGACTGTCGTGGGCAGGGTGCTCCAGCCAGACCTCTGCAAGCACCTAGAGCAGGCGTCCTCAAAGTACGGCCCGAGGGCCACCTGCAGCCAGCTGAGGACATTATCCGGCCCTCCGGGTATTTTTGCCATTGCTGCCTGTCCTGCTTAGCAGCTGACTCGCCCCGGGCCGCAGTGCGCATGTGTGGAATGTGCACCGCACTCTCCAGCGGCCTGAGGGACAGTGAACGGGGCCCCTGTTTAAAAAGTTTGAGGACCCCTGCCCTAGAGAGTGAGGCGATGCGGGATTTTCCTCTGCAGAGAGGAGTAAACAGACCTGGAGAGAGCGGGGCCCGGGGGAGCGAGGCGGGAGGAAGGGCTGGATCAGGGCGCCGTCTGTGGGGTCAGGCTCAGCTCGGGCAAAGGTCAGGGTCCAGGGGAGGAGAGAAGCTTAACCCAAGTTTGGTTAAGGAGGCTTTTGTTCCAGGTGATCTCTGGGCACGAGCGGCCCAGCTAACCATTGACGAGGCGCAGAGTGCGGAGGGGCCCCCTGGCCTGCCCTAGGTGAACAGGGGTCTGGGGGAGCCCTGTCTAAATCACTTGGGAAGGCAGCGATGTTTTAAACATGGAGATTTTATTTAAAATGGCAATATTCACAATATGCGGGATTTTCCGCTTGTCTAATGAAATGTGTGATAGACTCGTTCAGATATCAGTTTAAAAGGTGCAAGGGGTACATGGCCCTTCAAAGACAGTTTAGAAGTTCTACAAGGAAAGATTTAAACAGCACTGCCCCAGGGAGTGTGTCTAAAAGGTGATTCTGGAAAGCTCCTTTTTGGTGCAGTGGTTGGTGGCTGGTGCATTCCCATCACGGGTGTGGGGACAGCACCCCATCGAGGCAGGACTGGGGGCGGGAGGTGACCTCAGTCTGGTGGGCGGCCCTCTGGCCTGGAGGCTGCTGGTGGCTCTTGAGGACTGAGGGCCGAGCATCCGCCCTCCCCTCCTCTCCTGTTGGCTGAAGTGCTTCACTATCCTAACCCGGGAGGGAAGCTCCACGAACCCAGGCATGTCCAGCCACAGCCTGGGCCGCCTGGGTCCGAATCCCTGAGGGCGGGACCCAGGCCTGGGGGTGGTTTAGGCTCCCAAGAGATTCCAACGTGGACCCAGCTTGAGAGCCTGCTGTGCCAACCAGCAAAGTGTTTTGTTTCTCTTTGTCACCACCAGGTAGATGGAGGCCTGAGGAGAAAGTGATGTAACCTTTTGTAATTAAGTAGCCCCCAGCCCCAGGTTTTCTGTTTTCCTCCTTTTCTCGGGTGTAGTTTCTCAGGTGTAGTTTCTCTCCATTAGCTCACTGTGTGGGGGAAGAAACGCCACTGCCCAGATACCAGCCCATCAGTACCAAGAATTCTCAGCGTTGCTTCCCCCGCTCCCACCCCACCCCACCCCACCCCACCACCTCATGCCCACCCCACCCCACTCCCACCCCACCCCCACTCCATGCCACCCCACCCCCACGCCACCCCCCACCCACCTCCATGCCCACCCCACCCCCACCCCTGCCAGGCAAGGGTGAGAGGAAGTAGGAGGAAAGAATGAGCCTGTTTTTTGGTTCTTACTTGAAAAACAGGTGTAGTTATGTTGATTTTTATTTTTGTGTAAAACAATGGCTATTTCCCTGTAGCCTATGAAATAGATTACTAATGACGACCAATGTTTTGCAACCACTGGCTAAAATGAGCGTGCTGCTAGTTTACTAAAAATCCGAAAGCTCCTCCGTCCCCGTGTTCCTGAAGCTGGCTGATGCCCTGCGGATGGGCAGCAGGGACCGTGGGAGGCGTTTTCAGGTGAGAAAATCCATTAACAAAATGACCGATGCAGATTAAGTGCTCAGATCTTTCACTTAAAGTGTAAAATTTATGAATTTCGTTGCACACACTTGAAAGCAAAGATGCTGTATCTATGCATTCCAAGTTACACAGTGCTGTTTCCCCCCAAGCTCCCACATGACGGGGACGTTTCACCCTAACTTTTCGAGCCTCTGTCTGTCCCCAGGCTCACTGTGATTGCAGACGCCACTTCTGGGCTCCCGGTTCTCCAGGGCGCAGGATGAGGGCTGCAGTTCCCTCTAAGTCCTTTGAGCTCTGCTGATTCCCAGATACTGTCCCTGGAAACCTCATACCTGGCTGTGAGTACTGTTTACACAACACTGGGACTTTGTTTCTTTTTCGTTCCTTTTGTCGGTGAATTTATACAACATAGACAACCTTTAATGTGGTCCTTTCAGAGGCTTATTTTTTAACACCCTGTGCCTCTGAGGGGGAGGTTGTACCTTCTGGAATAATTCAATCCTGGTTTAAACATCTTTTCTTCTTTATCTGCCGTTAGTGATTCAGCCGGGAGGGCACTCCGCGCACCCCAGCCGAGCGCTGAGCCAGGTCAACTGAGGCCAAGGTGCTTCCCGGAGAAATAAACCCGCTCTGTCTGTGCAGGAAGCGACTGACGCTACATTTCACAGTGCAGACCTTACTTTAAAAGTCAAGTGTGAGAACCACTTATGATATGGGAGAAATTATAAGAATTTAAGTGTAGAACAATCTGACCTTTAGGGAGATATTTTTTTGGAGGGGGAACACTTTATTCAGGAACATGTTCAGTCATTGCAATGACTGAAGACTTTGATTTTGTGGTATTATTGGTGTTGTTTTGAGTTGTCTGTGGTTTCCAGTTGTGGCTCTCATGCTTTCTGCTAATAAATTACTGTTGACACTAGTCTTATTGTTATCAATTTGGTTTGTTTTGGGTTGTTTGATTAACTCGAGTAATACAGCAATAGGATTTTTTTTGTCTAGTATTTTCTTTTCTTTTTTACCTAAAAAAATATATATATACATATATATATATGTGTGTGTATATATATATATTTAGACAGAGTCTTGCTCTCTTACCCGGGCTAGAGTGCCGTGGCGTCAGCTTAGCTCACAGCAACCTCAAACTCAATTGCTCAAGCAATTCTCCTGCCTCAGCCTCCCGAGTAGCTGGGACTACAGGCATGTGCCGCCATGCCCGGCTAATCTTTTTTCTATATATTTTTTAGTTGTCCAGCTAATTTCTTTCTACTTTTAGTAGAGAAAGGGTCGTGCTCTTACTCAGGTTGGTCTCGAACTCCTGAGCTCAAACGATCCTCACATCTTGGCCTCCCAGAGTGCTAGGATTACAGGCATGAGCCACTGGGCCCAACCTGGTCTATTATTTTCTAACAACTAAGCCTGAAGCCTTGTGCCATTGGAGTTCACATGTGTTTCCCAAACTTTCTCCCAGATAAGCAAACGGGCTCGAGGCCTAATTCCCACAGATCTTGTTGGGGCATTAATGCCTATGAATCTGCATAGATGAAAATATTTGCAAAATTTTCTCAAGGTAAATATACTGAAATTATCAGATTATCTGTGGCTTTATAGAGCATTACTTATAATATCAATTAACGACTATAAGTTGATATTCTTTTCTAATGTAGTGTAAATAAATTATTCATATACATATCTAGGGCAGGTTGAATAGTTACCTCTCTGGGCTTGTGTTGTGAGCACCAAGTTCTTTTTCTGAAAATGGGCAGCTATTGGTAGACTTCTGAGCCTTTTGCTCCAATTAGGTTCTTTGTGGTCAAAAAAGATTGGGAGATAATCTCTAAATCCTATTCCACTTTTGCTTCCTAGGGGCTCAGGGGATATATGCACAGTGGAATGTATGCAAATGTGCACACATGTGCATGCTCAAGTCACATACATATGTCAAATGCTAAGACATAGCGCACACAGGTACATGCACAGCTGCACACAAACGCCCCTGCCATCCTTTGTTTTCTTTCGAGCAATTCTATTCTGTGAGGCAAGATTCACCAGAGAGAGTGAGTAGCTTCAGAGTCTACTGTTGGCAGAAGGGAGGGAAGAGAGAAGGAAGGCAGGTGAAGACTCATCACGGGTTTCATGTGCTCCCTTGAATAATCATCCTTTCATCGTCAGACAGAATGATTTGAAACGATTCAGGTAACTTATCACTTCTCTTCTCGTGAAGAAAATGACGTAGGATGTCTTATGATAAAAATGACTCATGGCCGGGCGCGGTGGCTCACGCCTTGTAATCCTAGCACTCTGGGAGGCCCGAGGCGGGTGGATTGCTTGAGGTCAGGAGTTCGAAACCAGCCTGAGCAAGAGCGAGACCCCGTCTCTACTATAAATAGAAAGAAATTAATTGGCCATCTAATATATATATATAGAAAAAAATTAGCTGGGCATGGTGGCGCATGCCTATAGTCCCAGCTACTTGGGAGGCTGAGGCAGGAGGATCACTTGAGCCCAGGAGTTTGAGGTTGCTGTGAGCTAGGCTGACACCACAGCACTCACTCTAGCCTGGGCAACAAAGCGAGACTCTGTCTCAAAAACAAACAAACAAAAAATGACTCATGATGACGTATGATAAAAACTGTCTAGTTGCAGAGGAAAGAGGAGAAAGAGTGGAATTTCACACCTGACCCTCAGCGCGTGTTTCTTTGCCCCACCCCGAGCAGCCCCCCAAGTCCTGACGGTGGTTCTCCGGGGTGCTGCCTGGCCAGACCTCCAGCGTGGATGAGGCAGGACGGGAGGACCAGGCGCAGAGCCATGTCCCTACTTGTCGTGGGTGTCCATATGGGACACAAGCCCTCATTCATCTTCAAGGCAACGATCCACCTTGCAGCTCTGTTTCAGGTAAGCAGACTGAGGGCATCGGCGTCTTGGTAGTGGTCTCGGATTTGGAGACTTAGGAAGGTTTAGGAGCCATAGCTTCCAAATACCAAGTGTCTTCTGAACTTTAACATTGTGCAGACTGCCAGGCAACGTGGCAATCGTGGAAATACTCCCTCAAGCTCTCCACGTCATCCTCTGTCCTCCCCAAACGTAGCAGAAAGGGCAGGATCTCCTTGTCTCCTGTCACGCAGGAGTAGCCGTGTGATTAGAGGATGGATCTCAGTGCTACAAAATCTAAACCAATCACAGAAATCCCAGCTTCCTTGAAAGTGATTGGTCAGAACCCCTAAGTCTAAGCCAATCAATATGAAGCATTTTCCTGGTGGACAGGAATTGGCTCAGAATGAACATGTGATCGATTAAGGCCCGTGAAACGTCAGGTCCCCCATCTATTGGGACCTTGATTGATTAATTTAAGGGGAAAAAAAAAATGGAAGCTTATACTACAGGTGGCAGATCAGAGACACAAAAGCATCTTGATCTTTGGTGACTTCGTTTTTAATCAATCAAGGTCCCAATAAATTGGCACATTGAAATTGGAATAATTCCGGGAGAGTTTAATAAACTAATTACTTTAAAAGGTAGAGAATGGGTAAGTGCAGTACTTGCTTGGAATTAATAACAGTGGGAAGCGATGGCCCCATCCTGTTCTCCAGCTCTCGAGTCCTGAAAGGGGGTGGGCAGGAGCCCCCAGAACCTGGAGACGGAGCTGTGTGGAGAGGCCTTCTGAGAAGGGGGTAGGGGCCCTCCACGGAGGCTGCACTGGCATGGGGGGGTCCCTTCAGGGGGAATCCAGACCCCCCTTTCCACTACGACCTCCTGCTAACCGGAAGTCTATAAATTCAGCCTGCTGGGACAGAGACAACTGCTGAGACAATCTTGAAGGGCATGTGGATGCCAGCGCAGAACAACCAGACCAAACACGGCTGGGTTTGCAGTCACATGACATGATCAATCTCCTTATTTTGAAGTCACTTTGAGTTTCATTTTATGTTTCTTGCGCTCAAAAAGTATCCTAATATACATACACAAAATATTTTATATACCAAGCTATTCTGAAAGTAAAAAAAAAAAAAAAAAAAAAGCTATGGGCTAGAAATGGAATGGAAACACATGGGAGGGGAAGACTCTGCAGGACCATGGGTCATCCGGTCTAGAAATGGGCAGTGCCACCAGGACTCTGACTTTCAGATGGGAAGGGGCACCTGTGGCCCCCGCCCCCACCAGTGTCAGGAGCCTGGAGCCAGCTCTCTTTAGGAAACAAAGTGGGAGAGCGTGGCTTCCATCCCAGGAGTCAAAGCGAGGATCGGGTTGATAAGGGCTGTTTGCCTGACCTTGGAGGAGGATGAAGTTAGGGGTGGAGTTAACCGTAAGCCTGCCAGCCACCTTGGGGTAAGAGAAGGAAGAGAAAAACAAACCGAACAATAGGAGCTTGCGAAATACCATTTCAAAGCCTAGGAGAAAAGTAAATACCCTAGAAAAAATTCACAATAAATGCAACAAATTGGAGACAGTTGCTGATGATAGCTCTAAATAATAGAGCTATCATCAAAGGACATATTTAACTGTCTGTGATCTTTGAAGAGACAACGGAGCCACAGGCACCTTTGGGCAAGGACAGGGACAGACAATAGGATGCTGTGAACCAACCCAGGAAGCTATAAATCAAGAAATAGGTAGAAGAGGCCGGGCGAGGTGGCTCACGCCTGTAATCCTAGCACTCTGGGAGGCCAAGGCGGGTAGATCGCTCAACGTCAGGAGTTCGAAACCTGCCTGAGCAAGAGTGAAACCCCGTCTCTACTAAACATAGAAAAAAATTAATTGGTCAACTAAAACTATATAGAAAAATTTAGCCGGGCATGGTGGCACATGCCTGTAGTCCCAGCTACTCGGGAGGCTGAGGCAGGACGATTGCTTGAGCCCAGGAGTTGGAGGTTGCTGTGAGCTGGGTTGATGCCACGGCACTCTAGCCCAGGCAACAAAGTGAGACTCTGCCTCAAAAAACACAAACAAACAAGAAAAAACAAACATGGGTAGAAGAATGGCCGATGGGAGGCCCTGAAAATACAAAATAGTAAATACTGAGATGAACAACTTAAGGAACAGGATTAACCCTAAAGTGGACACATAAACAAAAAATTGTGCCAAGGACTTAATGCTAAGAGAACAAAGAAGTTAAAAAAAAGAAAATATATATATATATATATAAAAGAGACTTGAATAATGTGAGGCATAAAATGAGACACTCCAATGTACATCTAATAAGAACACAGAGAATGTGGAGGAAATAGCCAAATTGTAATATCTGGCAATTTTCTGCAATTAAAGAAAGACATCATTTTCCAAATGGAAAGACGACACTGAGGGACAAGCAGGATAAACAAAATGAATTCAGAGTTAAACATATCGTAGTAAAAATGTAGAACATCTAGGTCAAAGAGAAAAACCTAAAGGCCACCAGAGAGAAAAAGGCTGAAACCTGCAGGAAACAGGAGGAGCAGACGCACGGCTGACGTCTCACGTCCTGAGTCCCTTCCTCAGGAAGGGAAGGGGGAGAGTGAGGAAACGCAGAGGGAAATGGCGCTCAACCTAGAACTCCGCAAACAACCAAATTCTTACTGAGATGGGAGGCAAAGTAAAGAAGTCAGACTGAGAAACACTGAAGAGTTTACCACCCAGACTTCTGATGAAAGAGCTACGAAAATCAGTGCTTCTTAACCTTGCGTGCCCATTAAAACCACCAGGGAACGTTAAAACATTCCAGTGCCCGGGCCACACCTAGGCCCAGGCGGCCCTGCTTTCTGATCTCCCCAGGTGGCTCCAACGGTCGGCCACAGTGAACGCCACTGCTTCACCTAATTACTCCAGAAGAAGAAAACTGAATTCGGAAGGCACCT